TCACAAGAATCCGCGTGAACTTCATGAAGGTGGCCCCCACATGAACCCAAGGTTTTGCTCTTCACGCGGTTTTCCTCTCCGCGTGGCCCCCACTTGCTTCACAATTCTCTACCTCAGTGAAGTTTTTTTCAAAACTGAGCCGACATCAACCAAACCAATTGTCTCACTTGTTGCGTCCAGTACGAAGTGAAACAATTCACGACAATGAACTCAATCCACAACAAGTCGAGAACCCAAATAAGAATGCGAACACTCTCCAAATGTCGGTATCAACTCACCAACTCAGTTGTATCATAAATGACTACCTACGTATCATCTTTCCCAAGGAATCAAGCCTTCATGTAGTTCACCAAAATGGCCTCCAAAGGCATCAACACCGAAAAATGTTCAAAAGCTCCGAACAATGACCAAACTTAACACCTGAAACAACTTTGGTCAACATATCCGTAGGGTTGTCCTTTGTGTGAATCTTCTCCAATATGACATCTCCATCATCCAAGACGTTATGAACAAAGTGGAATCTGATATCGATGTACTTCGTGCGTGCATGATAAACATGGTTCTTTACTAAATAGATAGTTGACATGCTATCACAATATACCTGAATTGTCTCCTGTGCAATCCCCAAGTTCTCCAATAATCCACGCAACCACAAATCCTCCTTAACAGCTTCAGTTACCACCATATACTCTGTCTTTGTAGTAGAGAGAGTCATTATGGACTGAAGTGTACATCTCCAATATACCGGTGCACCTGTCAATGTAAACACATATCCTGAAGTAGACCGGCGCTTATCAAGATCTCCAGTATAATCTGAATCCACGTAACCAATATAATCCTGCCCATTCTTCTCATCCTTCTCGAATACCAAACCAACATCCATGGTGCCTTTAACATACTGTAGAATCCACTTTACGGCCTCCCAATGACCCTTCCCGGGGTCGTGCATGTACCTCGATACTATACTCACGGCCTGTGAAAAATCTGGCCTTGTACATACCATCGCATATATCAAGCTACCCACTGTACTGGCATATGAAACATTCAATATATAATCTCTATCCTCAACTGAAACAGGTGACATACTAGCTGAAAGCTTGAAGTGGGGAGCCAATGGAGTGCTAACTGCTTTTGCATTGTCATCAAAGCTGAATTTCTTCAACATCTTCTGCAAATAGCTCTTCTGTGTAAGCTTCAATCTCCCCTTCACCCTATCTCTCTCAATCTTCATACCCAATATCTTCTTTGCTTCTCCAAGATCCTTCATCTCGAACTCGGTTGACAGATCTTTTTTCAACTTTCGAATAGCCGAAGAATTCCTGGAGGCAATAAGCATATCATCAACATATAGTAACAAATAGATATACTCACCATCCTGTAGCTTGTGCATGTAAACACATGGGTCATATGAGCTCCTTGTGTACCCTCGACCAATCATAAAGCCGTCGAATCTTTTGTACCATTGTCGCGTCGATTGCTTCAATCCGTAAAGAGACTTCTTTAACTTGCATACCAATTCTTCCTTTCCTGTAGTTTTGAACCCCATATGTTATGTCATGTAGATCTCCTCTTCTAAATCTTCATGTAAAAAGGCTGTCTTAACATCCATCTAGACCAAATTCAAATCCAGCTGTGCCACTAATGCCAACAAAATCCTAATCGACGAATGTTTTACAACAGGTGAGAATACCTCATTGTAATTAATGCTCTCAAGCTATGCATATCCCTTGGCAACCAATCTGACTTTGAACTGAATATCTCCAATAGAAGATCCCTCCTTCTTCGTATATACCCACTTGCAACCAATAGTTTTCTTACCCTTAGGTAGCTTTGCAAGTTCCCAAGTGTCATTCTTCTGAAGAGATCGCATCTCCTCCTCTATAGCTTACATCCACCTGATCGAATCGGGGCTAGACTCTGCCTTTCTGAGTGTGGATGGAACCATATCATCAATGACCTCCATTGATAATGCATATGTGATCATGACATCATTATACCTAGCTGGCCGACGAATCACCCTTCTAGATCTATTCGCTGTAATAAACTCCTGAACATAACCCTGCTCCTGAGTCTTACAATCCACTGTATCCTCTACATGCCCGACTGTTATCTCATCTCCTTCCAGTGTCACCTCTGTAGGAGCCTCGATAGATACAATGCTCTCTGGAGTGAGTGGAGTCACATCATCCTTCACCTTCTACGATATCTCCCGAATCTGGCATTCCTCCACCTGCTGAGAAACTTGAGGCTTCATCATGTATGCCTCGTTAAATGTGACATTCTTACTAATTACTATCTTCTTGTCCTGTGGATCCCATAACTTGAAGCCATTAACTCCATCTCTAAATCCCACAAAGACTGCTTTCCTCGTCCTCGGATTTAATTTACCATCACTGACATGGTAATAAGTAGGACACCCAAATATCCGAAGCGACCCATAGTCACTAGCTACCGAACCAGACCAACGCTCTAACA